AATTAAATTCTTGGTTTACTACGACGAAAAAGGTGTTGAAAAAAAACTGAATTTGAAACGAAAAACTGTATGGATACTGAGACTAGAGTCGAATGAAAAAAAATCCATATAGTATTGTTCCCTATACAAAGACTATTTGTTTTGACATTTGAATAATGGTTATTTGAACACCTTGTGGTGATTGCCTCACATTGTGAAATGGGTTTTTTATCTTGATTCAAATGCAGAAGCATTTCGAAAATATAATAAAATGGGAAAAAATCGATAAATGGTATGTACGATTCGAATATTTCCCATATGTACGGTTCGAATCATTAAAAAAATCAGCTAAATTCTATGAAATTCTAATTTTTCGACCCTATATGGGCGGTAGTGATCGCCATTTTGTAGCGCCGCCATTTGCTTTTCAATGAAATTTCTCTATTTCATATTCGTTTAACATTGGGAAAAATAATAATAAATCAATCGGAAATAATATCAATTTATTTACCTTGTAAAACCTTTTGCTTGGTGATTTTCATTTTATTTGATTTCGAAATAAAAATGAATAAAACCAAACGAAACCAGTCGAAAAGGGAAAGAAACTGATTTTAAACCACGATAGAGTGTAGCAGCACAGGGTTTACGTGTAGTAACTCACAGAGAGGCGAGCGTATACTGAAACGGTTTACTGTGGAATGTTCGGCTCGTTTATATACAATGGGAGAACATAGAGACGCGCTCGAGCGTTCGTCTTTCGCTTTCGCACTTCGTTCAATGCGGAGAAATTGAGGCACATAGCGTTCGTTGTCGTTCGTTGTCGGTTTGCCCCACTCTATCCATATTTGAATATAGAAGCATGCCGCATCGTTTATTTTTAAATGAGCGCACGGTAACGCTTCGATATTTGGCAGTCTCAGCATTGACCGCACAGGAAAAATAGAATTTTTTTTGAATGAAAATAATACAAAGTTCCGTATATTTTTCTTTACTCTCTTGAAAATAATACCAATATTGAAACCAAAGTAATATGCATATAACGAAGTTGATTTAAAGCGGAAAAAAATGCCCAAAACTTTCATGCTTTATATTTTACAAATTGTTCACAGAAAATATGAACAACTTTTGCATTCACCTAGAATAAAGTTCGGGAAACTTCACACCAAAGTATAAGTTTGTGTCACAGAAAAAATACGATATAATTTCGTTAGCAGAAGCGAGAATAATCGTAGCCGTTCTTTGACTGTAAGCAGTAAGCACAACATTAATCTTTTTGATTGTCTGCTTTTTCCTTCGTCACAGTCTTCGCTTCGCTGTTCTTGAGGACTCTGTTCTCGATGTACACATTATTATGAATGATAACTGGATAATTTTTTAGATCGCGTTCATTGCTGCGCATTTTTTTTTCTCTCTCCTTTCTCTTGTGTAATGGATTTGTAAGAAATGTTTGACATTTTACGAAGCTTAGATTAAAGAGTTAAGGATTATTTTGATTTTCTTATGTGGCATCGCTCAATATGAATTTGTGCAACTTTCAGCATTGCTCAAATGGACAATGATGAATGATCTAAGTGAGATTGCTATTGCATTTCCTTGCGAAATGAGTACATGGAAAATGTGCAACGGAAAGTTTGTTGAAGACAAAATGCACTGAACCAAACATTCTAATTTCCTTTCAAATGATTGAGGAGAACTCGTCGAGTTTCGGAACATGTCTCTCTCTCTTACGCAATTGAATTTTCATATGAACACGTCATTTTTGCCCCAGAATTTTTTCACTGGCGCCATCTAACTATTGAAAATGTTTTATTTAGAGAAAAGTCTGTATAAATGAAATATTGATACATTGTCATGGCCACATTATTATAGAGGTACGTACGGTGCTCTTTTGTGACTACGAAATTGGTTGACGTTTCAATTCTATGGACGCTGCCATATTGAAAATTTACGTGCGATATGGTGAACGCACTCAATAAATCCACCTATTTTAATAAGGAATCTTATATAGATTATATAGATGGTGGCGTTGCCACATCGTCATTTACACCGATCCAAATATCGTCAAATATAATACAGTACGCCCCCGCAAATTAGAAACCCGGGAATTAGAAAACCTCAGAAATTAAAAATGAATTTCAGGTTTGAAAATTTGTATGGAAAATTTCTAATTTCCGGGGTTTCCGAATCATTTCATTCAAGACAAAGGGAAATTTACTTCATTTTTAATGAAAAAACGTAATGAAAGTCTTTTCCATTTCGTTGAATAACTATACGAAGGTCCTGCATCTAAGCGTCTGACAGCTCACTTCTAGCGCTACGAGACAAGTGTCAAAAGTTGTGACACAGATCGTTCAATGTATTATTGAATCTTTTTTATATTTGTTAATAAAGTAGACAAAAAAAATAAAAATGTCACGAATGTGCAAAATTGATTTTTGTGAGAGCGTAGCACGCGATAAACATTATTTTTATAAATAAAAAATGTTTCTTTCATTACGGAACATTGTTGATGCGTTCAATT